AATTAATATCTAAAAATTACATTAAATTTTAATTAATTTAAAATTAAATAATATAAGAGAAAATTTTGATATTTTTTTAATTTATTAAAAAATAAAATAAAATAAAATATTAAAAAAATATAATCTAATGATATTAAAAGGAATTAACAATTTAAAATGTAACAATACCACGTTACGTGATGGTGGATAATATATGGATGATTGGGCTGGGCTCAGAATTTTGTTATAGTATATAGATTACGGGGTGTTTATTATGATTGGGATGTTTCCAGGCCTGTTTAACATTTTATGGGCCAAGCGTGTCAAGCCCAAGCGACACATCCTTCATCGTCGAGAGAGCGATAATAAAACCCTACGGGGACGCCTCCTACCTCCAAACCAAAACAAAGCTTTATTACTCAGAAAAACCCATACTTCTTCTTCCCACAAACAGAAATGACGCAGAAAGGGAATCTTTTCAAAGGTCAACAGAAGAAGAAGACGATACCTCCAAATCGCCACGGAAAAATCCCTCAGACTCGTAAAGGTCTTTAATAATTTTGGTATGTTAAATTGGGTGTGTGTGCGTTGGTTCATGCTTGGGAATCTCATTTAGTTTGGTTTTTCAGGGAAGAGAGTGGTGAAGCCGTCGAAGATGACGAACGGTATAGACACCGACCGATTAAGCTCTCCAAAGTTTCTTTAAAATATCAAAGAAAGAGTTTTTCACTCTTCATTCAATTTTATATTTCTGTTCAGCCAATTAATCTTTGTGGTTTGATTTTTTGTAATTGAATTGGAAAGGAATTGCGTGGTGCTGAATTAGTTGAATACATGCACTTCTAAGGTTTTAAAAATTCATGTTGGTGGTGGTGTGTCACCGTAGGTTTTAGGCAAGCACAGGTTCAGTTTTCTCTTTTAAAACTTCTTAATTGTGTAATTAGTTGAAACTTCAACTGAATCTCATTTGTTTTGCGTAAATTGCACACTAATATTTATCCATTGTTGTGTAGGAAACTGCCGATTAAATCAAAAAGTGTATAGGAAACTTCTGATCTATGATGATAGTTACTTGCAAACTAAACAAGCAGTTAGAATTTAATGCAGATGGTTTCCTTTTCTTTTTCTTGATTTTTGTATCCACATTTTGGGACTAAAAATGTGTATATTTGTATAGACTTAACTTACAGAAGGACTAAAAATGTGTATAAAAATATTGAGGGATTAAAACTAAGTTGAGGGGCTAAAATTGGCATTTAAACTCAGAATTTCTAGGAAGTTTGCTTCTATTGATTTTTAGTTGTCTTTTCACCTCTTATTGGTTTGGTCTTAGATTTTTAAAAATTGCATTGTTACTTTAAAACTTGCATTGGCAGCATTCGCTTCTCTAAACAACAAGCTCCGTTAATGTTATGCTTCACTGCCCCCACCCCACACCACCAACACTGACACACGATGAGAAAGTGCTATTTAGGAAGTTTTTTGGAGTGGTGTTACTATGCTTCATCCGACTTGCCAATTTAAGTCATGTTTTTTTCTCATGAGTCCAGGAGTTGACCAAGTTCATAAACCATTGTAATGAGATAAAAGCAGCCACAGTGGCTACTAAGGATGGCGGCCAACTAAGTATTGTTAAAGTACCTCCACCAGAACCATCAAAAACTACCAAGGAAGAGTGATGATGCTGCAGAAAGATTGACGCTTAGAGATGAATTGTTAGGAAAAGTAGCAGCTTCTGAGACAAGGATCATTTCATTTGTGTTGTTATATCTATCTATACCTTGTTGTTCATTTCTGATTTTTTGTTTTTTGGCTTCACTCATGAGTATGTGTGTATTGTGATACTCAACAATTTTGAACTGGGAAGATTGACGAATGAAAAGTAACTTTACCCAAATTGAACTAACCACAGTACCAGCTACATCAATAAACAACTTTTCTCTTTGAAATTTGAATCATGAATTATCCCGTCTGTCATTGCCTAGTTTCAACAAAAAAAAAAAAAAGAAAAAAGAAAAAAAGAATTATCCCATCTGGTAACATAGGGTGTCATTGTTGTTTCTAGTGATGTTTATAGATGATAAGGACACATGGGGTAAGTTGACGTGGATCCGAGTCATTGAGTCTGTCCATACGGTACAATGCAATATTGTCAACATTGGTGGAGCTCAGGCTTACGTTCGAACCATAGTGATTAGCATGTGCCACAATATTACTAGAAATATTGCTAGAACCCAGGCAAGGCACAATATCCCAAGGGTAGATTGAAGGGTGTCCCGTTTGGATCGCTCGACCAAAGGCCGTGGTCTCACCGGGTCCTTAGTGGTTATTCGAGTGTCAAGTGCACCTCCCTTCGATATCTGTGTATGGGTCTGCTCTGATCCTTTCGTTCCAGATGTAATTTTATTGTTTATTATCTTTGTAGATGCCGTTTGGCAGTCTTTGTAATGCAACAATCTCGTTATTTCTCAAAAAAATCTATTTAAATGATCACTAGAAATCTATAAATAGATTATCCATGTCCAAATCCGAATTAGAATCAAGATCCGACGCCAAATTGCCTTGCATTTCCAAATCAATCTCTTCTATGGCGAGTTCCCCAGCATCTTCCGAAGATTGTAGTTGGCAATTTTCAGTGTTTTTGACGACTTCCTCGTAGAGTTCATCCTCAGCATTGTTGTCTTCGAGATTCTCGGTGGATAATCTGCCGAACTTGGCGAGGAGAGTAGCGATGATGACGTTGCAGAGGAGGAAGACGAACAGCTGACTAGCGATGGCGCCGCTGAGTTTGGCAAAAAACTCACCGCAGATCCTAACGAAGATACATCTCTATGGCCTAAATCACTTTAAACTTTAATCAAAATAGAGGGAAAGAAATCAAGTCTGGAAGGAATTGAAATGAGCAGAGGAAGGAGTTAAAATGAGTAGAAGCAAATCAAAACAGAAGGAAAGTTCAATCGAGGGTGAGATTGTGAGATTGAAACCCTAGATCCCCAATTTATTGTTCTGGTAAGGGTTCTTTAGTAAAAGCATTGGATTCATCTGTCTTTTTTTTTTTCAAAAGCTTTAGTCAACGGTGGGACCCACAAATAAAATTGGTAGCATGTAGACTTCTCGATCATGGGGTTCAAGTTGGCATGCCAAGTTGTCAAAAAAAGTCTGAGGTGGCGCTAACATGTGCATACTTGACAGAGGCCAACGGTGCACGTGCTACACGTGATGCTCCAACGTTAAATTTTGCCTAATTTCCTCAAACTCGAAAATATGAAGGGCAAAAATCCATGTATTGTAATATGGAGGGTAAAAACCCTCAAATTTGAAAAGTTAAGGGGCAAACGGGTACTTTTGCCTAAAAAAATTTATTAAAGCCACTAATTTTTTAATAATTTTATTATCCGATAGCGACTGCGATCCGACGCACGATAAAAATGAGTTTCTATGAGAGGAGGAGAAAACACCAGAGCAACCCAAAAATAAAAAATAAAAGGTTAAAACCCTATTTTGGTCTCTGAACTATTGTATAGACCCTCGATTTGGTCCCTACTGTTTACCATTTTTACCCCGATTTGGTCCTTCCGTTAAATATCCGCTTAGGTGTCTTGTTACTTGACGGGAAAAAGGATGACATGTCAAATATTAATACACGTGGCAGACAATAAAACCAAAAAAAGTAATGACATGGAAAAAATAATAATATAAAAAAATATTATAAAAAATAAAACTTAAAAAAAAAAAATTTCTTTTTCCTTCCCCTTCTCCTTCTCTTTCCCCTT